AGCTGAAATCGACAACTTTTGTGAAAATTACATGCGTAATTTTTCCGTAATAATTAACTACAATAATTTTCGCGCCAGAATTTTTAATCAGATCCAAATTCCTGCAAGTGAGACAAGTCGATATATAATAAAATGCTGCAACCAGGTCCAACAACTTAATTAGGTTGCTAAAAAAACAAGTACAATCACACAATTAACATACAACTGCAGTAGCCAAGTATCTCGCTTGCCGCATTTGCGGAAGTTCTTGCCAGCTATAGCGATCAAATTGAAAACATTCTACAGACTTTAAGTACTTTTTTCCTTGCTTTTTTCTTTCATCTTGGCCTCCCATGACAATCACAGTGTCTCTGACAACTGCAGCCACACATCCTTCCCTCTTATACTTCATGTCTGGTAACATACGACTCTTCTGGATCTTGATGTTGTATAAGAAAACTTTGTTTAATCCTTGACCGTTATTGTCAACACCACCCGCTATGATCACACTGTCATCACCCCACTTGACTGTTGCCATTTCAGACACGGGGTAGGGGAGGGTTGCTAACTCCTTACATTCATTCTTAGTAATATCATACAACAAAACACTTGCAAGATTTGTTCTAGAAATCAAACGTACCCTACCTCCCAGAATGATTATCTTGTCACCAAACATTGCAACACCATGACGATATCTTGCTTGTGGCATGGTAGCCAACAGTTTACTGGTATAAGGTGGGACAAGGGAAATCTCAGTAATACTATCAGAATATGCACCTTTACTACCATCACAACCTCCAATCACTATCAACCGTCCATTATAAACTACACTGCAGTGTCCAAACAATGGTGCAGGTAACTTAGCAAGAACGTTTTCCCAAGTGATGGGCTGATCAACTTGAACAGCATTCAGTGATAGTTTTTCAATTGACTTCATTGCTATTGCACTCTGACCCACACCTCCAATGACAAACATTTGATTGTTGTGAACAACTGAAGATGCTCTCCTACGACTTTCTTTCATTCGCTTTAGTGGTGTCCAGGTCGCGTTTAACAGACTGAACATTTCCACTGAATTTAGACTTTCTTTCCCATTCCAGCCTCCAGCAACAAGGACCTTCGGCTCCCTGTCCATTCCACCTTCTGCAATATCTTTCTTCATTTCTTCTGCCTGAACTTTATGCGATGCTTGTTGTGTCATTCTCACCAGTTGTTTTGTAATTTCATTTAAACTTGTCTTCATTTCTACATTGTCCGCTTCAAGCCGACTAATACCTTCTTCTTGCTTGTTAAGTTGTTCTTGAACCAGTTCAACTTTTGCGACCACATTTCCAAACTCTGTTTTAACATTCTTCTGATTTCTGTACATCTGTTCCTTATTTCTGTGCAAATGTTCCCCAACTTTTTTCAATTTTTTATGCATTGCATTAACTTCCCCTGTATCCATCTCTTGTTTGATTTCGTTGCGATTGTGGCACTTGACTCTGCGTAGTTCACACACAGCTGTTTCCTGGTGTAGTAAATCTTGTTTATTCACCTCAAGTTGACATGCTTCGTTAGAGCAGACTGCTGGGGCAAACCCACAGTCAGTGACATGCCTTTCGAGATCTCCTAATTCAACAAACTGTCCGCAACCACGATCGAAGAATTGACAACGGATCTTTAATTTGGAAAGTAAGTTCGTTGCGGCCTGAGGTGCTTGGCGCAGTGATTCGACAGTGAGTGGTTCCATACACGATGGACATGTTTGAAAGTTCATGAGATGTATGGTGATACAAGGTCGACAGAACAAATGCTCATTATGTCGACACGAAACTGGATCCTTCAACACATTCAGACATATACCACAATGCAACGTGTGGCCAACGGGATGTTGAAATAGTTCATCTTCCCAACCAGTGTCGTATGACGCCATTTTCAGTTCAGATCGCTGTTGAATCGATATCTTGAGAAATAGACATGAGAAAAAAGATATTAGATGTCGTTTTGAAATAAATGACGAAGCGCTATTATTTAAAATTCTTATGTTGACCGAGACAGCACTGTGTATAGTCGTTTTGCATTCAACAAATACGAGTTAAAAGCAAGCATAAGAAGACATCTTTTCTGTGAATTACTTTCTTCATTAAAAATTAAAATGCCCACAAAATGACATCTAACTCTCGCGAAACTTCTATTGACTATTTCTTTTCTGGTTTCTTCAGAAATTCCTTGTGTTTTAATACAGGCGACTTTGAATCGGTATGCTTATATAAACTCACTTGAATATATTTCATTTCGTCTTACCTTGGCTTTACTTCATTCAGGAACTACATTTTGTCGTGTAGTTTATTTACATCGCTATAATGTTTAAAACACTGTGCTTGATTTGATCAAAACAATGTACAGTAGGCCACAGTAGTTTGAGAGCGCAGTCGAAATCCTTCGAGATAAATCGTCTGTTTAGTTTCAGTTTGAGCAGAATACACCCATAAATTCCTGGATATCCAATTACATTAAAATTGCGACAGTCACACATTGCACAAATCTTGTGATTAAAGTTCATGACCTCGTAATCTCTCGATGCTGGAAAACCAGTCTACAAACCAGTTGTTAGTTCAACAATGTTGGCGATGATGAATGAAAATTTTGAATAAAGTCAAAATCCGATCCAGACATTGTTCAACCTCAGCCAAAATTACGAAACACATGGTATGAACTGTATAGCCTTCCCTAACTCACTTGCTTGCATATACGGCGCTGAACTTGTATGTAATTCAGTGAAAGATAATCCTCGCAGCAAGGCTTAATTTGATGCCGTACATTGCGCAAAAAATTCACCAAGTGTATAAATTCGGCATTAAAATCTCGAAAAGCTACCAAGATTTCTTGAAACAGCCATTATATTCTTCTAATTTATAAACAAATTTTAAATTCGAGCAAAACAATTAATTAAGCAATGTGACAATTAACTGAA